GTTCTGACTTTAATTCTCCTTGATATCCAAAAATCAGTGAAGATGAATTTGATTGGTATTTTGTGTCCATAGATTATGCAAGAATTATATCTGTATCTATCTACATATATAGATGGATAGTTTTTTTCCCACGCTTCTTAATCTCTGCTTATATTCATCTATCAATCCATCTATATCTATATATCTCTATCTCTATCTATCGATCTTTAGATATAGATAGGTAGTTTTTTCCAACGCTTCTTATCTCTTCCTATGTTTATCTATCAAGCTTTCGATCTCTCTCTCTCTCTCTCTCTCTCTCTATCTATCTATCTATCTATCTATCTACCTATCTATCTATCATCTATCTATCTATCTATCTATCTATATATATATATATTATATATATATATATATATATATATATATATATATATATATATATATATATATATATATATATATATATATATATATATATATATATATATATATATATATATATATATATATATATATATATATATAAATATAGATAGATAGATGTTTTTCCCACGCAGCTTGATCGGTGCCGTAATATGCAAATTTTCCACAACAGTTTATCGTAATCATCATCATCTCCAACATATGAAAATATTCAAACACTATCTTCTCTTCACAACGTTTATTCAAAGTATTACAATGTTTTATCTTTTAGCTTTATCGTCAGTACTAGGTTATTTTTCTAGATATAATTTTGATAATAAAATTGAAACTGTTATAACTGTTCTTGTCATATCATTACCACCGCTGCTATTTGATAATAAAATTGGAATTGTCATTATGATTGTCCTTTTCATATTACCACCGCTGCTATTAATTCATTACAGATGCATTTGAGTCAAAGTCTGATAATAATAGTAATGGTAGCATCACTAGGAAATTTGATGATGCTAGTTGTGCTTGAATAGTAATTTATTAGTTTGATTATATCCAAAAAAAGAAGAAACAGAAATGCGATAAATAATGGAATCAATACATATTTTGATAAACAGATAGATAAACAAAAGGAAATGATAATAAGAAATAGACATTTGAATTTTTAATTAGATATCATTTAATAGTTTCATTCAGTTTGATTGAATTTAATTTCTACAATCACTTTCACCTTCACCATCATCATTAGTGTCATCCTTATTGCAATCTTGAAATATTCCTGTCACTATTATCATCGTTGTTATCACCATCATGCAAGCACTTAATATTTTTTGTTTTGTTTATTTTTTTTTTACATCTCCCCTACTTTTTCCTTTTGTTTCATTCTCATTTTTCTTCCCTCTTCTTCTTTATATCTCCTCCTCTTCCTTCTTGTCTGTCTTTGATTTCTAAATCTCTTTCTCCTTCATTCTACTTCTTCAATCTTATCACTATTATTATCATTATTGTTGCTGCTGCTGTTGTTGTTTTGTTCGTGTTGTTATTATCATTATTATCATTATCATTATCATTATTATTACCTCCGCCAGGTAATTTTCTGTTATTACTATTATTATTATTACATTATTACATTACTGTTATTACTATCAATATCGTTATCATTATTATTATTATTGTCACTATTGTTATTATTATCATCATTATTATCATTATCAATATTACTATGTTTTTGGTAGCGTTGGTTTGTTAGTCAATGTGTCTGTATGTTGGTGAGCAGTGTAACTCAAAATGTTATGAACAGATTCTTATGATTTTTTTACCAGAGGTGTTCCTCAGCCAAGCTTGGGTGCTATCAGATCCGAATCCAGGATTTTTTTTAAAGATTAATCAGCATTGCGAGATGGGGAAACACGGACGTCACCGTTGTACTTGAGAAAGAGGTGATTTTGATGTAATTCTTGGTGTGAATATTTTTATTGCATCACTTACCCTATTGCCGTGGCGGAGGTATGCGATCTCTGAGTGCTTCTGGTTAATCATGATTGTTATCATTGTTATTATTAGTGTTATTGTTGTTGTTGTTATCATTATTATTATTATTATTATTATTATTATTATTATTATATTATTATTATTATTATCATTATCATTATCATTATTATTTTATTATTATTTTTATCAGCATAATTATTATTATCATTATCATCATTATCAATATCATTGCTATTATCATAAATTTTATCATCATTTTTGTTATCAACATTATTATTATCATCATTAGTATCATTATTATAATTACCATTATCATTATCATTATTACTAATATCATTATCATCATTATTACTATTATCAATAACATTTTTAGCATCATAATGATTATCATAATTACTATTATTAGTATTATTATCATCATTATGATTATCATCATTATTATTAGTAGTAGTATTATCATCATCATTATCATCATTCTTCATATTATTATCAACATTATCAATATTATCATTATTAATTATTGGTATTACTGTCAACGTTATCGTTATTATAGTTGTTATTATCATTTTCATTTGCATTGTTATCACCTTATTGTTATCATGATATATCAATTTTATCCATATCATTTTTACAAAAAATCATTACCTTTATCATCGTTACTGTTACCATTATTATCGTTATTGTCATTAACATCGTTATCGTTTATATTATCTTGTTATAATCATTATCATTACTATTTTCAACAACTGGAAGAGGAAAACAACGTTAAATCTAAAAATTTTATTTACAGAACTCTCGAAATATACATTATAAAATCTTAGAGGATGAGCATTGCAAAAAACAGCCATGTATAGCACACATAGAGCACAAAATGGAAGAATGATGCTTAACTATAGATGATGCAAAATCGGAGCAACTTGTGACGAGAAACGGGACGAATCCTGGCTTGTGGCATCCGACCCTTTGTGTACACGGAAGGGACTGTTTGTGCGTGTATATGTACGCCGCATTCGCACACACATACTCATACGTGTGTGTAAAGGTAGATAAGTGTGTGTATATATATATATATATATATATATATATATATATATATATAATATATATATATATATGTGTGTGTGTGTGTGTGTGTGTGTGTGTGTGTGTGTGTGTGTGTGTGTGTGTGTGTGTGTGTGTGTGTGTGTGTGTGTGTGTGTGTGTGTGTGTGTGTGTGTGTGTGTGGTGTGTGTGTGTGTGTGTGTGTGTGTGTGTGTGTGTGTGTGTGTATAGGGCGGTGTTAAGTAGAGTATTATTTACGTTTTATAAAGGTCTCTGCGGTTATGTACACGTTCTTTTTTAGTCAGATTCCCAGTACTTCAAAGCGACTGATATAATGTGCAAAAGCCTTTTTTGAAAAGTTTTGAAATGCTGGTGCGTTAAATGTTGATGTTTTATTCATATGAAATGATATTGAATAACTATCTAAATATTTAGATATTCTGAGGCACAGATAAATGTACACATACACGCAAACACACACACACACACACACGCACACACACACACACACACAGAAGCACACTAAACACACACACACACACACACACAAACACACACACACACACACACACACACACACACACACACACACACACACACACACACACACACACACACACACACACACACACACACAGACACAGACACACACACACACACACACACACACACACACACACACACACACACACACACACACACACACACAGCACACACACACACACACACACACACACACACACACAACACACACACACACACACACACACACACACACACACACACACACACACACACACAGAACACACACACACACACACACACACACACACACACACACACACACACACACACACACACACACACACACACACACAACACACACACACACACACACACACACACAAGAAGCACACTAAACACACACACACACACTCAAACACGCACACACACATAGAAACACACACGCACACACAGAAACACTCATCACATATGTCTTCTTAAAAATAAATAAATAAATAAATAATAAAAAAGATAATTTCACATATTTATACGACTTTTATCAAACTGTACAATCTCAGCCCTGTTAAAATGCACATTAAATTTCTCTCACCATCTTAGAATTCTCTTTCATCTACAATCTATACTCGCTATATTTACAAAATACTTAAGGATATATAGATAATGCAGAATGGGTAATGAAATATATGTGGTATTTCTTATTCGTTGCCGTCAGTCAAATTACATTGCGTTGATGGGTATGTTTATGTTTATGTCGATCTGAACAAAAATGAAATGAAGAATGTAGTGATGGTGATTTAAATAGCAGGTGATAATAATAATAATAATGATAAGAATAATGGTAATGATTATGAAGATAATGATAGTAGTTGTAGTGGTGGTAAAATGGTTAATAATAATAATGATGATAATAATGAAAATGATAATGGTAATGATAATGAAAATGATAATAGTAATGATTATAAACAATGATAATAATGATAATTATTATCATTGTTGTTATTAACATTATTATTATTATTATTGTTATTATCAATATGATTATTAGTAGTAGTATCATTATAACTATTATCAATGATATCATTATTATTGTTATTATTATCATCATCATTATATTGAATATGGTTATGATAATGATAATAATAATGATAACAACAACAAGAAGATTATCAATAACAATACTGATAATGATAATAGTAATAACAATAATGATAATAATGATAATGATAACATCAACAATGATAATAATACTAATCTTATAGTTAATGATGGTAAAATAATTCCTATAACAGGTAAAATAAAAGCACAAACAGTAGCAATGATAACAACGATAACAACGATAATAACGATGACAAAGCAGTTACACGAAAGACCTCATTGAACCCCTGAAACACATGCAGCTTCAGTAGGCTTCAGGAGGCTTCTCTCGGCCTGCATATTGAGCGAACACTTGCAGCAGCATCTTGCAAGTTGACAGGATGATGATGGACATCACGGTGCATAACACTGCAACCTGCAAGTGAAAAGTGGTGAAGGGAATTAAAAATGAA